GGGTATTCCCAGAAGAGATTAGCATTTGAATCAATAGAACTGAATAAAGAAAATTGTCCTCACCAATGTGGGTAGGCATCATCAAATCCACTGAGGGCCTGAATAGAACAAAAAAAGCAGAGAAAAGGATGAATTTTTTTCTCTGCTTGAGCTGGGACATCCATCTTCTTCTGCCCTCAAACGTTGGCCCCTGGTTCTTAGGCCTTTGGTTTGTAAGAGAACTGCACCACCAGCTTTCCAGGGCTCCAGCTTACAGACTGCACATCATGGGACTTCTCACAGCCTGCATCATTGCATGAGCCAACATATCTCTGTGTGTGTGTGTGTGTGTCTCTCTCTCTCTCTATATATATATACATATATATATCTGTGTGTCTGGAGAACCTTGACTATAAAACCAAAGGCTGACTTGGTACATGCAGTAGGAGTTAAGAGAAAAAAAGCTCCATGTGCTTGGATTTCTGGGGAAAATTGGAAATCAACCTTGAAGAAAAGATGACATTTATTAAGATAAAGGTAGGCACTCCAGGTTAACCACTTCAGTACGGTGCTCACTGGCCGCTTAACCTCGCCCACAGCCGGCACTCATAGTCCGCACGATAGTGTGTGCTGTGCATTGACTACCAATCCGTTTTACTCTTGTGTGATGAGGAAAGCTTGAAAGCACTGAAGAAGCTTGTTTTACTTTACAGGCAGCTTTACTTGTAATGTAAATCAGAATAGGTAACATATACATATATGTTTTCATTACATTATTTTTAAATGTTCACAATTTTATTTTGATAAATGAAAAATTAGAAAAGCCACATCACGGCTGTCGGCTAAAGTTGCTGCGCGCGTTCATCTGTGGGTGTCGACTATAGTCGCCGCTGGTTTTGAAGTGGTAAGTAAGTGCCAGGAGAAAATGGCTAGAGCAAAACGAATCAGGCTATTGAGCTTTGGGGGAGATATTGGTTCCATTCACTTTACCACACAACTATACAGATTTTACTCCCAAGACTATGAGAGGTGAATAAGGAAGACCAGTAGTACTAGGAGTGAAAATATGAGGCTAAATCACACACAAGATGTATTAAAACATATGTATGGTATGTGGAGGGTGAAGAGTGTATAAAGAAAATAAGGAAATATATGGTGTGAAATATTAAATATAAACAAAGATTAGGCCCAAAATGTGACTATATTTTTGGTGACTAAGACACAATAAAAACTAAGGTCACTGGAATTGAGAAAGTCCAGGAACTATAAGATAGGTATGTTGAATCGTGGAAGGGATGCTGACATCATGAACAATGAGGACAGGTGGTGACATAAAGAGGACTATGATACAGTTGCTGAAGTCATAGTGAGAAATTTTACTTAGAGCTGGTCTTGGATTGGTTAAAAAGAGAGAGGGAGAGAGAGAGAGCAGGTAGGATGTACTTTACAAGATATTTTTGACAGTGACAATAAATGAATAGTAGAGAAGTTAGGGTGGTAAAGTAAGAAAATGCCAACCCTCCTCTTCACCCAGTGAGTTGAGGATGAAAAGCGTGCATGAGGAAGGAAAATGGCCTCCACTAGAGTGGATATAAAGAAAAGAGGAAGTATGTATTTAAAAAGAAAACAGGATTGAGTTTAGGCAAGTTAATGCTAAAGTTTAGCTATAGGAGTTCTTGTCCATTATTGAATAGGATACCCAAACAGAACATTAAAAGGGTTATTGGAGGAAAAATTAAAATTAGGGAGAGATGAGGATGGAGGCGGGGTTGGAAAAGGATAGATCTGTACGAATATTTACATATTTACCTTACTTGCCCATGAAAGGGTAGCTCAAGCAGTACCTCTTCTAGGAAGCCATTTTTGTCTTCCCTCTACCCCACTAGTTCCTTCTTTGTGTTGCCTTAGCTCTGAACACTTAAAAATTTGCACTGTAATTGTTGGTTTGCTCATCTGCCTCTTCTCTGCACTATAAGCTTCTTAAAAGTTTTTATTCTTTCTCATCTTTGTGTCCCCAGATCTGACACAATCCTAGGCATAGATAATTCTTAACATATATTTGTTGGGTTAAAGAATGAATGAATGAGAGTCCAGTGCTGATATGTACCTTTAGCACATAACCTCTTGAACTTAACCCATCCCCCTTTCTCACAGTGTTCATTGGGCTGTCCATTGGAAATACGATGTGAGCCATATATACAATTTGCTAGTAGACACATTAAAAATAAACAAGTGAAATTAATTTAATAATATATTTTATTTAACCAAATATATAAAACATTATCATTTCAACATGTAAGCAATATAAACATTATTGACATACTTTACATTCTTTTTGTTTTGTACTCTCTTCAACATCTGGTGTGTATTTTACACTTATATCACATCTCAATCCATACTAAGCACATTTTTCAAATGCTAAATGTCCACATGTAGCAATTGGCTACCATATTATGCAGTGCAGTTCTATTAACAGGTTCTAGAGACTACGGAGTTCTTTCCTTTTCGATGGTCTGTGCACTTGGAGTTATCTCTGTTTGAAGTATTCTTCCTCTAGCTCTTTTTAAGAATATATATTTTTGAATATATCATCTATAAAAGATTATATGTACACATTACAATGGGCTGAATGTTGATGTCCTCCTAAAATTCATGTTGAAATCCTAACCCTCAAAGAGATAGTATTAGGAGGTGGGGCCTTTAGGAGGTGATTAGGTGATCACCACCAAATTAGATGAACCACAGAGTGGGCCCTCATCGACATTTAATCTACTAGCACCCTTGCGCTAGTGAATACAGAGAACAATAAAATGAGGAGCAAAAAAAGAAGAAAAGAACACAAGGAAAAAAAATCTACTGGCACCTTGATCTTGGGCTTTCCAGCTCCAAAACTATGAGAAATAAATTTCTGTTGTATATAAGTCACCTAGTTTATGGTATTTTGTTATAGCACCCTAATGGATTCAGACACATATAATGTACATACATATATAGATATTTATATACATGACGTATACAAATAGTATAGAGATTAACACAATGAAAGTTTAGTTTTTGCAAATTCAAAGTCAAATGAAAATCAGACAGCTCTGACATTTTCAAGGAAAAGAAAGATTTAGAGAATTTGCAGGATGTTTGTAAATGTCAGGCTTAAAAAATTCCACTGGCCTTAATTTAGTCATATGACCCCATGCACATGCAAGGAAGGCTGACAAATACAGTCTTCCTGTGTACCCTGATAGAGAAAATGGTGTAATGAGCATGTTGTATGGCTGTCTCTGACACAATTCTATTTTTTTTCTTCCTAATTTTTTGGCTGGTATCAATGGAACAGTGTTAGATACTAAATAACAGGGATGACAAAGAACAATTAAGTCTCAGTCCTGACTTTTATTCCTGATAATGAAAATTTTTTCATTATGTCTCCATTTAACAAGGTAGTAGATTTTTGGATTTATATTTGTATATTTCATCATCCTAAAGAAGTTTTTATCTTTAAGATTTTTATTTATTTAATGAGCAATATATGCCTAAATTTGTCAAAAATATCTTTCTAGCAACTATGGAGATAATAATATAATTTTCTTTCTGATAGCTTAATATTGTGCATTATATTAGTAGATTTCTTAATGTTGAGCTATTTTTCTAACTCCTAGAATAAAGTCTAATATATTATGATAAAATATAAAATATTTTTGAAAAGCTCTATATGTTTGCAGCGAATTTATTTAAATTTTTTGGCATCAATATTCACAAGTGAGATTGAGCTATAGTTTATTTTAATTATTTTTGTCATGTTTCATAATTCATGAAGTAAAGCTTTATGGAGGTTTTTCTCTTTTTATAGTTTCTTGAACTGTTAAAGTTGCTTCTGAGTTAACTGATTCTTCAGAGAGAAAGATTTGCACTATGCTTGGGCCAGTTGCTACTGTTGTTGGCTGTCTCTGCTTCAAGCATATTGCCACTTGGCTATTAATGTTCAGTCCTGACAATACTCATTATACCATTGATTAGAACATTTAAAAATATTTAATAAGAATGTTTTTACTACTTTCATGCACTCTTTCAGGTTCTCAGTATGCTCTTTCCTCATACCAATCTGCTCTTGTTTATTGCTGTTGTATTCCTGAAATTATATCAAAACTAAAAAGTATATTTTTTAAAAAAATGCCGCTCCAATTTTATACATTACCTTTGCTTCGGTAAGCTATGGTTGTTTATTTTCCTCCTCTCTTACAACTGTTGATTGTCTTTATGTATTCAGTCTTTGTTGCTTATCTTTATCAATGTAGGTCTAGATTAAGCAGCACCCCTAGGTGGTAGAAATTCCTTCATCACTCAGATAGGTATGAATCCATGGCTCTCTGGGCAGGCTTAGGCCAATGGGTGGCAAGCATAGCAGGGCATGTCTTGCCTTTGGTGTAAGTGGGCCAGCAAGCAGGGTGTGCCCCCCAGGGAGGAGGAAGGTGACTATATGGTCTATAGGTTTCTCTCTAGACATAGCAAGTGAGCATGTATGAATAACCTCTCCAGGAGGCTGCATAGGATTTAGGTGGCATTCTGAGTCCCCCTGCAACCATGAGTCCTTTTGTAAGCCTTACTTTAGGTACACTGCGTAGTGTCTACATGGTGAATAACTTTTGTTTCCCCACATGTATTCTATTCTTTTTTTTTTTTTTTTACATTTTTTTTTTATTTCGGCATATTGTGGGGGTACAGATTTTAAGGTTTCAATAAATGCCTATTCTATTCTTAATAGCACCCTTTCTTCCTTTGATATCTTGTCTACCCCTCCAATCATATTAGAGGTTCATACTATTAAGAGTTGTTTGTCATAAAAAATTGTTTTTCACCCTCACCATGTTTAGTCACAGTAGTGAGCATATGACTAAGTCCAATGTGAGTTTTGATTTAAATAAACCATCATGAGACTGCATCAACATGGTCCCATTGATTGGTCCAAAGTGTGAACAATGATCTAAGCCAGGCTGATCAAAAACTTCTTTGGAAGTTTTTGAAGGAGATCTTGGATAGTCAAGTTGTAAAGATTTGAACTTAGAGGACGCTAATAGCCAGGTCCCTGATTATGTGAAGAAAAACTAGTAAGAAAAGAAGCTGACATGTTGGGATAAACAGAAAGACTTCTGAGTACTTGGTTCTGGTGACAGTTTCCTGGAATGTCCTGCTTCCTGCTTTCCCTCAGTTGTTCATTTCTTCATATAATTCTATGAGCCACCCCAATAAAGCCTCTTTTTGCTCACATTAGTTCAAGTTGGAGTTCTTTTATTTTAACCATAAGTGTAGGAGTATGGACATACACACACACACATACACACACGAGATATATGTATCTCTCTTTCATCTATAGTATTCCATGGAAATCCAATTCTTTAATCTTGCTGATTTCCAGGGCTTGATCAATATTCTCTCTTCTACATTCATTGAATTATCTCAACATTTGGGCCACAATTTAAAGTACTATCCTTGTTCTTCAGCAAAACCATTTTTTTCCAAAAACCTATGATATGATTGGCAGAGAAGGACCTTAACGATCTTTAACTACACATCCCTTTCTTGGTCCTCCTTTGCCAATCATGTCTGCACACTTTTGTTTTTCCTCCAAATATCTGCTGACCAAAAGAATCTTTGAACTGACTCTATCTAGTTTTCTTGCTGCAAATCTAAACCAAACCTGGTATGCGACCATACTAAATCTAGCTGAGAGGTTTATTGTAACACACTGTAAAACTTACACTGGAGACAGGCAGACCAGGTTTCTCTGGCTTTCTGGCTTCCTTACATCTCTAACAATGGCCCCTACTCCCTCTTCCCAGTGCTTGATTTTACATGAGGCTTTTCTCTTACATAGAACTCCCTGTCTTCTTTAGAACTGCCACTCCATGCCCTTTCCAATTTTTTTCTGAACTCTAAAATCTCATCTCTGTAAGAAAACCTTCCCTAATTAACCTCATTTGGTTCTAATCACTCTTCTACTTAGCAGCCTCTCAGAATTCTTCAACATATTACACCTCTGGCTGCATCACCTGGTCTCTTGCTGCGTTGTTCTCTGTGCATGCAGTACAACTCCCATTTGCCTGCAAACTTCTCTGATGCATCTGCGAGCCCTTGGGTGGTAATAATACTAACGCTAAAAAGCTAACATGGCGGGCTTATTATGCTCCAGACACAATGCTAAGTAATTTACTGGCAGAGTATTTAGAGCACTGTTTGTAAGTAAGCCATTAATACAGGTTTGTTATTCTACTATTTATAGCCCAATTAGCTTGGTATTATTATTATCTCCATTTCACAGATAAGAAAACTATGGGGCACAGAGAGTTACCATAACTTGCCTAGGGTCACAGAGCTCCTTAATTGGCAGAGACAAAACTTGATCCCAGTCTGTTTGACACCAATATCTATCCATGTTCTTAATCATTACAAAAAAATTTTGCTAAATACACACACACACATCAATTCATTTTGCAATAGTACCGCTGCAGTTTTCAGAACAGTGTAAGTTGTACTCAAGGCAGGTTTTACTTTGGCATTAATTCCCCCTTTTAAAATTCAACTGCCTTAGAGATATAAGGAAAAAGTCACAAATATTTTTATCTCCCTAGAGATTTTTATTTTGAAATTTAGGCCACTGAAATATGTGTCCTTAGGGAAAACAATGGTTTGATTTTCAAAATTTCTAAATTGCTAAGGAACTGAGTCTTTGCTTTTAACTATTAATACGCAGCTTCCGTCAGCCTCTTCAGTTATATTTTCTTTAGCATTTCTCAGCCACCAATACCTCATATTTGCTCAGGCAGGAAGAGTGAGACCATGTCAAGGCTGAACAATGTTAGAAACGCATGGGTATATTGACACTACAAATGATTAATAATGGTATTAGAGACTCAACCCCGATCAAGCAATACATCTTCTTAAAGTTATTTTGAGTACATTTCCATTAGATGCTCCTCACAATGGCTCTGTACTGTTACAGCTTTCCTCCTGGTCCTGTTGTGAGGTTACAGAGGGAGAAATGCCCACTTCTGATGTCGTCTCTCCTGGGTTCTCAAGAGGCCTTTCCCCTCCCACTCCTCTCCCTCCCTTCTTCTCCTCCTTCTCCCTCTCCTAGGCTGCCCTGCCCCTTTCTTCCTTGGCTGTCTGAGCCTGCTTGGAGGGAGCCGAGGCTCGCTGGACCCTGGGGCCTGGGGCCCTCTGAAAGGCTGCCGGGTCTCTGCGGAGCAGTCAGGTGACAGACTCTCAACCCAACCAGCCCTGGTGCCACAGCTCTCCCCACAGCGCCCGGATCCCATCTCTGGAAGTTACGAGCCCGGGGCTCCGCCCACCCCTCCAGCCAAGCCAGACACAGTCGCCTCCCTCGCGATTTCCCCCGGGCCGAGCGAATGGGCTTGAAGGCGACTCCAGATGCGGGAGGCGCATCGCGAAAAACGTGTCATTGAGAAGAAAGTCCGTTTCCTACAGGGACTGCAGTTGGCAGCTGCAGCCACAGTCGGTTGCGAGACAGGCTCCCCACCTGGGGAAGCGAGGCGGCTCGCGCGCGCGCTCGGCGGGAGGACGCGGCGGCGGGACTCGAACCGGGTCGTCGGGGGGCGCCCCGCGGGGTCCCGTCTGCGGCCGGGCCGGCCAGCCCGGGCTGGAGCCGGCGGAAGCCGGCGAGCACAGCTGTCTTCGCTTGGACTGAGGCCTCCGCTCCCTGCCGGCTCCCCTCTCTCCCGCCTCCCGCCCCAGAAATGATCTCAAGCGTTGCGCGTTTGATTCCAGAGCCCCACTCGGGTGGGTTCTTTTGTCTCTTTGTTTTAATGACAGTCCCCAGCTCTCCGGCATGTCATGCGCAATTAATTCCCTGGCTCTCCCGAAGGCAGCTGGGGTGAAATTTCTTCTGCATCATCCTTTTGGGGATAATTGTTTGTGATGTGACGTCAGCTGGATTGGTTTCCCCCCTCGCGTGGGGGAGAGCGGGGAGACAGGAGCGAGGCGCACAGATGTGCGCGGAGGCCACAGACACTGCCGTCTGGAATTCCTTCAGGGCAAAGGGGGATTGCAATTGGAAGGGGGGCTTCAAAGTGTGCTGCTGCTGAGATTTCAGGCTGCACAGAATTATTGAGAAGTTTTTCCTAAAAAAAAAAAATCCTCTCCGCAGCGAGCTACTTACGTGCTCCTTTCATGCCCGAGCCCCCAGTTAAGGTGGCAGCGCCTGATCATTAATCTCGGGCGCCCAGCCGCGGCTGCGGGCTGGAGACGGCGGCGAGGAGGGGCGGGGGCGCGCGTTCCCAGGTGGGGAAGGGGCCGCGTGTTTGGTGACGGGCGGGAGGCGGCGGGGGCGGCCGGGCTGGGGCCGGGAAATAGGTTCCGAGCGCTCTCCGGGGGTATTGTGTCAGGAGATGCGGGCTGGCTACCATGTGACGCGGGCCAGAGCTGAAGGGATTGGCCGAGGCGGCGCAGGCGGCGCAGCTCGGCCGGCTCGCTTTTCCTCTCCCTTTCTCTCTCAGCATCTTCCTGGTGGCCTGTAGGTGAAGCAGCACCGGCAGCATCCATGGCCTGTCTTTCGGGTTAACACTTGTCTCCTCTGGCTCCTCCCGGCAGCGGACAGAGCAGACCTCAGCAGCGGCGGCGTGGGGAGGACTTAGCCGGGACCTGGAATCGTATCCTCCTGTGTTTCCTCAGACTCCTTGGAAATTAAGGAATGCAATTCTGCCACCATGATGGAAGGTAAGGATGCTTTCTGCTGGGGTTGACTGGCTTCCGGCAAGGTTTGGGCAGAACGGGATTCAAGAACGTGTGCAGCCTGCTGTCTGTGGCGGTCCTGGAGCCTGGTTGCCAAGGTTCTGCAAGCTGAAATGCTGCAGTTTGCTTGCAGCGGACCACAGGGCTCAGACGAACGGAATCAAACCACAGGGCTTCTGCCTGGCTCAGAACCTACAGAGCTCCCAGCTCCTCAGAGAGAGAGAAGCCTAAAGTGTTCGCAGGGAGCTGAGATAGAGCTAGGAAAAGAGCTTGCAGAGCAAATAAGTTGGGTGAGAAGATAAGGCTTTCTGTCCTGGGTTCCTGGGACTACACTGATTAAACATTTACAATGGAAACTTGTTTTCTGAAATTGACATTAGACGGGAGAGGTCATTGACAGAGTTATCCATACTGTCATTTTCAGTGGACTGTTTAAATAATTTTTTTTTACTTCTCGTAAGATATTTTTATCTCTGCAATTTACATCATATTGCTGGGATGAGGGGCACAGCAAATTTGGTCTATAAACTGTAGTTTTATGAGGATGGCATTGCAACAGAATGAGTAATATACGGAAAATATCCGGGCCTCTTGGCTTCTGATTCAGGGTCTTATCAGGTTAAAAAAAATTTTGTGCTTCCAAATGCTTTTCTGTGCAATGGTTCTTAGCCAAGCATCAGATGATTACTTGCTGATTATCTTTTGCATTTAATATTAAGTGTAAGGAGGAAGTTTCCCTGGGGAGATGCTATTTAAACTATATTTTATTCTACTAAATTACCCTTCCCAGCTTGAAATAGTGACAGCAAGGATTGCCTCAAAAAAGCAGCAAGCTGATCAGGAAAGAAGCAAGCAGCTCTATGCTGGTTTTGATTTTCTGTTTTCACACTACAGGCTGGTGCAAAACTCCTGGCCTTTCCTAAGATGACAGGCAGAAATTTGTCCCCAGCCTGGATTTCACAATGCAGAATTGAGTGCATAATGGGTCTCAAATCAGCCATGAAAATGGCAGAGAGGCCACCTCTTAAGCCAAGGTCTGTCCTATGGATTTTAACCGTTCCTCAGAAATTTACCAAAATGGAATAAGAGGAGGATGGTTTCACAAAAACAGCAGTGTAGCCCATACTTATTTGACAGAAATGAATTCTTTTTGCTTTCTCTGTCATCATGTCAAACGTTGCTAATGTGATTTGAGGGAGTAAAGAATTCTAGAGTCAAAACCCAGAGATTTTAGAAAATAGCTTTAAAAGAGAGATTGGGTAACATTTTGTTATGGAGCTTGGTCTTGTTTGCAAAGGGCTCTCAAGCTAGTTCTTTAAATACAGGCCTAAATGAACTGAGATTGCTAATACTCTCAGATTAAATCATTTTTGTTAATTCAAAATGGACTTAATCTTTGAATAATAAGACAAGACAAACAGAAAGAGTATTATTTATGTACTTTTCAATTAAAAGCTCATTGGATTATCCTCTTAAAAAAAATCTTGTGTATAGAAAGAAGGGTACTATATTTCTCCAGATAAATTTCATATAGCACTTTTAAAAAATGCATCTGCACACATTCTAACTTCAATCGAGAATTGGAAAATCTTTCCTTTTACTTCTTGCCTTGCCAACTAAGGAGCCAAATTGTCTTCTTTTTAAAGGTAGTAAAATTTTTTTGATGCTCATTAATAATTCTCCTGGTAATATGGTCTATTGTGCCATCCCAGAATGTCAGTTCAAAGCCCTGTGATAAGCTTATCTGAGCTGCCTAAACTGAAATGAGAACTGTAACAAAGACTTGTGTTGGAGCTGAATTAGCACTATTGCTCTGGGTTTGCCAAATTTATCTAATGAAGGATGTTATCTTAGCACTGGTATGAATTAGAGGTGACACTATGGATACAATTGCCTTCCATCAGATCCTTGCAAGAGAAATTGGACAGGTGTTTCCACTGGCTTAAAAATTTCCATGAAACTATTTTTTTCTACCCATAGTTCCTATTTAAATGCCTTTTGAGCTTTATTATCATAATGGTTCTGTGACCTTAGAAAGCAGGTAGGAACCTTAACCGAAGATCAATTTGCCCGTCAATGGCCTTCCAACTTAGTTGTCAGTCTTTTTAGCAACGTATATTCTTGTTTCTGATATTGCACCCTAGGATTTCACCTTTGAAATGCTGTTACTCTGAAGGTGTGGTATATCATTATTGTTTCCACTTCACTCATCCCTAGAGAAAGCCATGTTGTTACATCTATTGCAGTAACCTTGGAAAGATAAGGAACCCCCTAAAAGGCACCCTAAAATCCTATCATGGCAGCCCTCTGCTGAAACATCCGTGAACTCTGAGAATGTGCCACCAAACATCTAGATAGTTAAAATGATGTTTATTCTCAACTAGATGTGTCACTCACACACACACACACACACACACACACGCAGTCCTCCACACAAACTTATTTCTAGAGGGGGAGAGAACATACATTTGCCCTCGTGTGTGCATTTCTATATTGCTAAAGTGTTTTAGTGAGCTGGAAAAGCAAGGCCATGGCAACTTTTCAGAGCCACTTCTCTACTATGTGTAAAGCAAAAGTAAACAAATATTCAGCAGAAGAGGTCACAGTAAACTGTTTTTGTTTGTGTGGAACAGGATATAGGCTTCATTCATACAATGCCTATTGAAAGTCCTGGTCATAGATAAGGAATGTCACTACCTCCCCAGTGATTCCAATGTTGTGTGAAGCAGCAAAATAATTCCGCAGGGGCCTCAAGCAGGTTATCAGTAGTTTGTGGCTTCATGGTTCATTTCACCATGAACCAAATATATATATATATTTTTTTTTTATTTAAATATATATATATATATATACACATATATATATATTTTAAGGGACTTGATCCATTGCTTCCTGTGTACTGTATTTTTTGGCAGTGGTTGGTAATGAGTTGTTTCTTTCCTGAAGAAAGCCACATGATGTGGAGCCTTAGGTAGTGTGAATATGAAGAGAAAGAGGGTAAGCAAAAGGAATTATTCACTAAGGAATATGTGCATTGGCTAAGCTTACAATGCAGTCTATGTGTTAGGGCAACTATTCAAGGACTATTTTATTTATACATCATTATTATTAAAGTTTGAAAATGGCATTTTTTAAGCTGTGCTTCCTAAGATAAGTGGAACCAAGTCAGGGTTTCTGAGGGTATCTATTTATTTGTGAGGCTGTCTGGAAAGTACTTTCCAGTCCATGCAGACCTGACTGAAGGCGTTTTGTGTTTCTAATTCCATATTCAGGCTATTAGGTGCTATTATATACAGAAAGATATGTTTCTGAGTGCCAATAGTTTAATTCCATACAGCAATTTTAAAAATTAACAAGCCTATTTTTAAGGGCCTACTGGGTTTAACTGCAATGTACAGGGGAACTTAATAAATTGTATTTATTTACTACTTACAATAACTTTAAAATAATTAGTCTGTATACAATGCCTTTTGCAGAACTTTTTCTAAATTCCAAAAATAAAAAATAATACACTGAGGCAAAAAAAAAAAATGGTGGAATGGATTTTGAACCCAAATCCATTTCATAATAAAGCTTGTATTTTTGACCTTCTAGAAACCTTTTCTTTTTACTTTGTGTCATAGTGGGTATGTTAGCCTAATTAAAAAATAGGCCTTATTTTCTGTGGTGGCATATTCTGTCTCTCTGTCTTAAATATGAGTACCCACAGAACCATACTCTGTAATTCTTTGTTAATGCATTTTATGTCCAAAATTATTATTTAGAAAATTTTGCATAATTCAAGATTATTGAACTTCTGTTGTTTCAATAAGCCTTATAAACAGTTAAGGATTTTTTTACATCTAGAAATGAAATCTTATAATATTTGGTACATTCTTTGATGTGATCAAAAAGGAACAAAGCATCTTGAAACTGGAGGTGTTCACTTTATAGTTAGCTAAGAAGTTTTAAAGGGAATGTTTCTCACTCTCCTACTGATTTCCTTCCCTTAAATGGTGAAATTACTTTAGAAAACCTAAGCATGCATATGAGATGCTAATATATGTTCTATCACTTATGTAATTTCTCTCCTTCCCCAGGGCTTTGTGTCAGAAAGAGCTTCTTTGGATGTATATGTTCCCATCCAAATTCCAGGGGTCAACTTTAAATCTCTAAAAAGAATATGTAGTTTTAAAAAAAAATTAACTTAGATAAACCATGCCAGAAGACTCTGGCTAATTCTTTCTGTTACATTTCACACATACACTATCCATGTTTCAAATAAACACGTTGCAAGAAGTCACTAACTCACAATTTTTATGTTCCTGAAAGTGTATTTATTTGTGAGTTGGTTAGCTGGAACATATTTTCCCATAGGAATAATGATATAAATGATGGTGAAAGTCTCACACTAGTCCACCAAAGTCTATTAACCAAATGTCTAGCTAAAAATACTAAATATTTTCCATGAAATGTGTAAAGAATAGTATGGTTACCATAGTAATAAGCCAGAAGAGAATGATGGCATTAGATGTGTTTTTAATTTTGAATGTTGCTATTTAAGGGAAAGAAGCTTTAATTAGAAGCCAATGAGAAGCTATGGAGAAAATTGATAGAAATTTCTAGAAAATGTTTAGATATTTTCAGAAGTTTTAGAGACTCATAACACTGGGTTTTTCAATTATATTCAATTTTACTTCCATACTTGTGGCTTACCTTTTCTCGATTCAATTTTATCCTATGAACCTGCTAAATTATGAGTAAAGTCATTACATAAGCCCATAAATGGAATTAAGAGTGGGAAAGAGAATTTAGTGAGATGACTATAAATGGATTGGGAGAAAAGGGATCAGGGTTTATAATGGACCTGGGCTCATGTGTCTGAAAAAGTCCCAGAGGACAAATTAACTGAATAAGGAAGAAGTCATGGATATAAGAGAACTGGGGAGCATGGAAAGACCAGGGTCCCCCTGAGGAAAGAGTAGGGGGTCCAGCCAAGGTATTGG